GACCTCTTAAAGGAAATCTGAGGAAGGCCTGAGTACCTAAGCCTCACCAAGTGGGAGAGAGGGGACACTTGGGGAAGGGCTAGGCTTCCAGGGAAACCTTTGGAATTGTTTTCACTTAGTTATTTTATTTATAGAAAAAGGTGTAGAAAATAAAGACAAACCGATGACAATCTGTATTTCCATTGTCCTAGGTCTGTGTGCCTTCTGTATGAGCTATGACACACTCCAGCCAGTAATGAGTTCTTTGTTTTACGGATGAGCTCAGTAGAACCGTTCCGGACGCACTGGACCATTCCCAGTGTCAGTGAGTCCCATCAACAGCCCTCACTGGCTGCAGGAGCCCTTGTATGACTGCGGGCTGCAGGGGCATCCTTAAGTCTCTGAGGTTAAAAGGAAGCATTCATGCGTTTCCCTAAGCAAGGGCATCTTAAAGCCTCCCTCTGAGGTGCAGATAGAGAAAGAAGGGCCCAGAGCGACTGTCCCCACCCCCATTCAGAGGGAGCGGGGCAGGCATGGCCTTCAGGGCTCCTAACCCAAGTTTTTACATCTGACTTAGACTCCCCTAACTTTACCATTCTTTCTTCTCAGTTTTTGAAAACCAATGAGGCTGACCCCTTCCCAACCCTTCCTGCCTTTTTAGAAGTTGAAGAGTTACAACAAAGAATGGGAATATATCTTCAAAGGAATTTTATTTGCTTTCCAGTTATAAACTTTTCACCTGAGTGCAAAAGCGCAACAAGTAATATTTGCCCCAGAATTAGACCCGCTGACTTTGTCTAAATGGGTGTCCTCTGTTAACGCTCAGCGCGTCTACGTGGGAACCCCCTCACCTGCCTCCCTGGTGGGTCAGACCTGTTAGTTTCCCCGATTTTACGCGGCTGACATCTACCCGACCTAGCCGGGAGGCTCACCCCCAAATCACTCCTCCAAGAACCCGCAGCGACTCTCTGGGTCTTCTTTCAAGGAGTTTCTCTCTCAGCACGCAGGAGATTGTCACAGAAAAAGAACAAAATCACAAACTTCGAGTTCCGGAGGACCAGACGACCCCAGCCCTCTCCCAGGCCAGATTCAGCCGCCGGACGCGCACGTACCTGGAGCTGTGGCCGGCACGGCGGGAGCGCCACGTCTCGGGTCCGGCCC